TTGAATAAAAAATCGCGTCAAGTAAGTTGACTCTGTACTTCCCACGCTCGCATGTCCTAAAAGTTTTGGCACAAAATACATTGGCTTTAAATTTAAGAAACACAAAATAATATCAAGTTGCCCTTGGAAACAAAAGTTTGTGTACTTACTTTACTGTCAGTTGACATTTATATATTTTGAAGTTTTCGCATTAAGATGTCGTATAAATTAGAAATAAGAAAAAGTAGGGGAAGTACGTCCAAAATGACGTATACGGACAAAACGACACATTAATGATATTTAAAAAACTGCGCGATAGAAACTGTCAAAAGTTAGCCAATCAAGAAGCACCTACACCGGAAATATATCATTGGACTTTTGAGAGCCGTTTAAAATACAGAATGGAAGCCATGTTGACATTTGTGTTTCGAGGTTGGAAAGACATTTGTTAGTGGTCATTTGTTTTTTGTTTTTCGGTAAGTTTTCTTTTGTTATTTTACTGTCCTATAATTTTATATTTCCAAGCATTTTGTGTTTGAGGTGGTCGCGTAGAATTTAAAACAATATTGTCACTGCAACAAGATTATTCGTCGACTCGTAATATTTTTTGAGGCTATGTACAAAATGACATACAACCACTATGGACAAAACGACATAATGTGTCATTTTGTCCGTAGAGTTGGTGGTAAGATACTTTTTTAAGTAAATCTACGTAAATCTTTTTAATTTACAGAATGGCAATATGCCCCGAAATCATAAGAAGACAAATAATCGGCAATCATGGAGTCAAGAAGCGATGAAAAAAGCTGTTGAAGCTGTTAAAGAGAAAAAATGGGTTGGCTTCTGGCTTCTAAGGTCGTTCGTAGGGACGACTGACGATACGGGCCTTAGACCTTCAAAGTGCCACAAGCTACACTAAGGCGGCATGCTTTGGAACAAAATAAAACAGTTGCACCTGCAGCAAAAGGTTTAGGCCCATTTCAGCTAACATTTCCTCTTGAAATTGAGAGACAATTGGTTGAGCACATCAAGCTACTTGAAACTCGCATGTTTGGTTCAACGCGTACAATGGTCCAAGAACTCGCTTTCCAATTGGCTGTAAAGACCATTCTCTCACACAGTTTTAATAAAGATAAGGGTAAAGCTGGCCAGGAGCCTACCTCCACAGCCAGAGCCCAAGCTTTTAATAGACCTCAAGTAAGAAAGTTTTTCGATAACTATCAAGAATACATAGACAAACACAAATTAAACGCGAACCGGATCTACAATGTGGAAGAATCGGGGCTGTCTACTGTCCAAAGACCTCAAAATATTCTGGCTACCGCTGGCAGGAAGGAAGTAGGTGCCATTACAAGTGCGGAGAGGGGATCTAATGTGACAGCTGTGTGTTGCATGAACGCAGCTGGGTCGTATGTACCTCCTTTCATGATTTTCGCAAGGAAAAATATGAAAAACGAGCTCGTGGATGAAGCACCAACTGGTACGGTAGGAGTAGATCAAGAAAGCGGGTGGATGACCACTGAAATTTTCGTGAAGTGGCTCCAGCATTTTCAAAGCTTTGTGAAAGCTAGTCATAATGATAAAGTCCTTCTTATTGTCGATGGCCATGCCAGCCATAAGTCATTCGAAGCTTTGAACTTTTCCAAGGAGAATGGAATCGAAATTGTTTGTTTTCCTCCACACTGCACCCATCGTATGCAGCCTCTCGATGTGCGCTTTTATGGACCGCTTAAGACATATTTTAACCAAGAGATTTCTGTCTGGGTTAGAAATCATCCAGGAAGAGTGGTGACAGCTCTTCAGATCGGATATTTATTTAATCAAGCTGATGGAAAGACTGTTAATCCAGACATATTTCCAGATCACTTTTTTGAACCAGCTGAAACAACAAATACGCCAATAGCTTCCACAGCTGATAACTCCGACTCAATCCAGGATCAGAACCTTCCATCGTTGCCAATAGAACCCTGAACATTCATCAAAGTCATCCACAACCATCTACTTCATCTGATTCTTCAGACGCAATAGCAGTCACTAATGATATTCATAACACACTGATTGGCCCGTTAGACATTTCTCAACCATCCACAAGTTCCTTTGCATCGACAAGTTCTTTAGCTGTTCCAGTTAATGTCATTTCACCAATTCCCAGTGGTAAATTTGTACTTTCCTACTTACGTCATCACCAAATATGGCAGAATTAAAGTACAAACGAGAGATTGCAGCTGAAAAACCAACTCGTAAAAGGAAACAAGCAGTTACGTCTCTTTACATTGATGATGACTCAGATGAAGAGCGATCTGATCAAGAAGACGAAGAAGATGATTGTGCCTGTATTTACTGCAACGACCTCTACTCACGTTCAAAGCCTGGTGAGGGGTGGTTGAGGTACAGGCGGTGGAGTCGTTGGGTTCACGCAGCCTGTGCTGATTTGCCAAAGCGTACAAAAAAATTTGTTTGCGAATTGTGCAATTAATATTGTTATCTCTTATTTTATCATTTTTGTTATGTTGATGGCTGTGTATGTCATTTAGTCCATACGACTCGTGTCCATACCGTATGGACAAAACGGATTTTTCTAAATCTATATGATTCCTGTTAACCAATTAATATAAACAAAGTTGTAAGAAAAAAATATGTTCCTATTATGAATAATATTAAAGTTATTGATGATTGATAAAACGATATGTCATTTTGGACGTACTTCCCCTATCTACAAGTTGGTTAGACTGGTTCCTAAAGCTGAAATCTGTCGATATTCCTGAGTAAAAACATTTCACGCAGAACCATTTATCAAACAACAGCGGGGTGCGAGCAGGTAATATACCATGTCTGAATCTCCCAAAAAGTGAAAGGTCACGTACATTTACTGCGCAGAGGTCAGAGATATCGGTGAGAAGAGCAAAAAATCATGTTGGAATTTGAACAAGGAGACTGGCTCGTCAATACAGATCTTCTAAGAGTACGATATCGTTGGAATTGAGGAAGAATCGTCTTAAATATCGAAAGAGACTCAAGTACCCCAAATACATTCAAGCGCAACTGCTTCGTATATCAAGATGCTTCCGTCAACTGAGGCACTTCTGAGGCACTTTGCCAATTGGAAAAATCATTATTTTAGATGAAGGAAAACGACGGATTTTATACCGACAATGTGGATGAATGCTCTGATGTTAGATACAAAAACAAATCCAAATTGGCAGATAAAATCCTTGCTTGGTGCGTAATTTCTAATAGGGCTGTAACCCAACCCTTTGTGAGAAGAGTGAGGGGTGAAGCTTTGACAACACAACATACCTTTTGTTCCCAAAAACTTGTCGCAGGCTCGCCCAATGGAGGATTTTTGGGCTTTATTATCTAGGAAGGTTTACCATGGAGGCTAGGAATTCCAAGATGAACAATTAAGACGGCGACTTACGAAAAAATGAGAGAAATTGATCGGAATTTCGTCCTGGACCTCACAAGAGATATTCAAAAAAAGTTGTGTCTGTTAGAGCCGAATGGGCAGCTCCACATAATTCGATAGTACAGTTTATCTAAGGTATTAAGTTGTAATTTATGATAACTAATGGGTGATTTTTTGCTAGTATCTTTTTGGCAACACTGTTTTTGACAGATGACGCGTGAATCGTGTCTTGTGTCATTGTCAAACTTGTTCAGTTTGGTCTATAATTTAACCATGAATCGACTTACGAACGAGCAACGCTTGCAAATTATTGAATTTTACTATGAAAATTCATGCTCGGTTAAGAGAGTGCATCGAGCACTGCTTCCAATTTATGGGCAATTTGGTCGGCCTACTGAGGGAGCTATTCGGAAGCTTGTGACTAAATTTCGAACTCAGTTTACATTATTGGACAGTAAACCACCAACACGCAGACGTAGAGTGAGGACTGAAGAAAATATTGCGGCTGTATCCGCCAGTGTTAGTGATGACCGTGAAATGTCGATTCGCCGCTGTTTTTCGCAATTGGGCCTCTCTTACTCCACTACGTGGAAAATTTTGCTACAGGATTTGGGTGTAAAACCTTATAAGATACAGCTGGTGCAAGAATTGAAGCCACACCACCTCCCACAACGTTTCCAATTTGGTGAATAGGCGCTGGCAAAGTTGGAAGAAGATCCACATTTTTATCGAAAAATTGTGTTCAGCGACGAAGCTCATTTCTGGTTGAATGGGTACGTTAACAAGCAAAATTGCCGCATCTGGAATGAAGACCAGCCAGAAGCATTGCAAGAGCTACCAATGCATCCCGAAAAAATCACTGTTTGGTGTGGATTATGGGCCGGTGGCATCATCGGGACGTACTTCTTCAAAGACGACAATGGCCGGAACGTAACTGTGAATGGCGAGCGCTACCGTGCGATGATAACAAACTTTTTTTTGCCCAAAATGGAAGAGCTGGACTTGGCTGACATGTGGTTTCAACAAGACGGTGCCTCATGCCACACCGCACACGAAACAATGGCCCTATTGAGAGGCGAGTTCGGTGAACAGTTTATCTCACGTTTGGGGCCCGTCAATTAGCCGCCTAGATCGTGTGATTTAACGTCGTTGGACTATTTCTTGTGGGGCCATGTTAAGGCTAATGTCTACAGGGATAAACCAGCAACGATTGACGCACTGGAAGCCAATATTGAAGCATTTATTCATGAGATACCGGCCGATATGTTGGAGAGAGTGTGCCAAAATTAGACCTTGTGCATGGGCCATCTAAAGCGGAGCCCCGGCCAACATTTACATGAAATAATCTTCAAACATTAAATTATATCGACCGTTATATCGACTCAAATAAAGATTCATCGTTTTTTCAATTTTTTTGTGTTTTTTTTGAAAATCAAATCCTATACCTCCTAAGAAATCACCCGTTAGTTAGTGTTTAAATACATTTCTTCATTAAAAAAAATCCGATAAACATTTTGTGCCAAAACTTTTGGGAAGTACGTGTTAGTACAGACAACAAAGGTTTATTGCATAAACCGGAAAAGCTGTTTTTAAGTGTTGATCAACATAGACTTACCTAGAAACTGTCTTCGGCCGAAAGGCTGATGGCACAAAGCTTATGGCAACACACTTTCTGTTGAACAACACTGCTGCTACGCTTCGGGTAGGTCCTTGTCTCGGCTGATTACGGACATTGCGATCGCGCCCATTTCCGATTCCGCTTCGAACAAAAGTCGGACTCGAACCACGGAAGAAATTGCTGGTCGAATGCGCTAGTCGATTTAGCGGCGTTTAGGGGGAAAACTTAGACTGGCGGTGCGACAGGTGGGGACCTTCGCGGTATCGCGGTGTACGACATGAATAATTCAATATCACTTTCAGTGTTTATAGATCTTTTGTTTTCATAGGTTTTCTTCGTAAGTTTATTATATTCCTCTATTTCTAGTTGTAGAGGAAGTTCGAGACGTTTTTACTTCCCACTTGTTTGCCGAAGATATCACGAACGATGTAAGCGAATCTTACATAGAATGGGGACTGTTGGTATCCGCTCTCCCTACAATTAAGTATGCATTCTATCCATGAATTCTCTCTATACAGGTGTTCCTTAATTATATGCGAATATTCAAGCGTGTGAATCTACTCGTACATGAAAAATTAATGTTAGTTTGCTTTATAAACTATGATCCAAAAATGTTTGCTTACAAAAACTCGTGGTGTTGAAGTTTTAGGAAAAAAATGGAAATTAATTAATATTTTCAGAACTGCTTCAGATATTTCACTGATATTTAGTACGTAGTGAAAGTTAATAAAGTTGCATACTTTTCAATCCAAAAATAATTTTTAGCTTTAACAGTGGCGTGCGTACGGGTATTGACTTCGATAAAAATTATTTTTGAATTCCCCGTTCAATTTAAAACAATTGATCTCTTTCGAGTTGCCTTCCTTCGATGCGCAATTTTTGAGTAAAAAAATAAAAATCGTTCTAATGACCGAGAAAATGAATGTAATAATTGAAGAATGCAATTTAGCAATAAATATCTAGTTGCTCTGGAATATATCACTGGCTTTTGACGTCTGACAAGTCTCTGTTATTCAAATCTGTTCGCTGTGACATCTTTTTCATTATTTAGTCTTCACAATCTTGTTAATAATGGTGAATTATTCGAATGCAGAAATGGCGGAAATGCATTACGTATATGGCCTCGCCGACGGTAATGGTGAGCAAGCCAGACGGATTTATCACCAGAGATATCCCGATCGTGCTTTGCGAGATACTCGAACCTTTTCTAATATTCATCGTCGTCTTGTTGAAACTGGTTCTGTCCGAAAAGTAACATCTGAAAGTAGACCTCTAAGTGTGAGAACAGCTGAAATTGAGGAAGCAGTGCTGCACGAAGTCGAAGAACATCCTGAAACGAGTACGAGGAAGATCGCCAGATACTTAAATATTTGCCATCAAATTGTTTGGAGAATTTTAGTGGATTTTTTGTTATATCATTTCCATATTAGGCATTACTTCTCATTGATTTTCCAAGGTGTATGACCTTTTGTCAGTGGTATCTTCAAAAAATTACACAAAATCCGCAATTTGAATCAATGATTCTGTTCACGGACGAAGCTAATTTTTCTCGAAATGCCATTCAGAATTTCCACAATCATTTGTGGACAGAAGAAAATCCCTATCCCGTAACCGAAACCCATTTCAAACGCCAATTTTCGGTTAACGTATGGGCAGGAATTATTGGCAACCACTTTATTGGCCCATTCTTCTTGCCGGGACGACTTGACGGACAGACTTACCTCAATTTTCTTCAACAACAGTTGCCTTTGCTGCTTCATGATGTTCCGTTAGTAATAAGAAACAATATGTGGTACATGCATGATGGTGCACCAGCGCATTTCAGTGTAGCGGTTCGTAATTATTTACAAACTGTTTATCTAAATCGTTGGATTGGCCGCGGTGGGTCCCAAGAATGGTCACTAAGGCCCTAGACCTTAACAGTTTAGATTTCTTTTTGTGGGGCTATCTTAAGATACTAGTCTACACAATTCCCATTAACACTGTAGAGGAATAAAGAAAAAGAAAAAATATTGCAGCTTGTGATAGAATAAAAAACACTCCAGGGATATTTCAACGAGTGCGCAATTCCATGAGAAGTAGGGCGGAAGCATACATAATAAGTGAAGGGGGCCATTTTCAACAATTTTTGTAATCATTTCGTTGGTTTTACTGGTATGTTTATGTTGTCAGTTGTTGTTGTTCATTACCCCTAACGTGTTTAATTTTTCTAATCAAATTAATAATAATTTTGCAAGTTAGAAAATAGAACGTTTTTTATTTTTTTACTAAAAAATGGCGCATCAAATTTTTAGTTGGTAAAAAACCATTGGCGTACCATTTTTATCTTAAAAAACATCGAAGTCAATACCCGTATGCATGCCACTGTTAAATCTAAAAATTATTTTTGATAAATATGAAACTTTATTAACTTTCACTACGTACTAAATATCAATGAAATATCTGAAGCGGTTCTGAAAATATTAATTAATCTCCGTTTTTTTCCTAAAACTCCAACACCCCGAGTTTCTGTACGGAAACATTTTTGGACCATAGTTTATAAAGCAAACTAACATTAATTTTTCATGTAGATTCACACCCTTAAATATTCGCATATCATTAAGGAACAACCTGTATATCCCATAGCATTGTTCAGCTAGTTGAGGAGACGAATGTACGTATTTACTCGTAGCTTAGCTGTCGATGTCTCCGCGTTTTATCCTTTGCATTTAAACATCCTTACCGTGGCCCGTTTTGTTTGGCTGACAAAAGTGTCACGATAGGCCCCTTGGCAAGAAGAGTATCCCAGTCTTTTCCTTCAAGTACCCTTGTATTTTCGATATCACTACATATAGGTAAATTAGGTAAAAATCACTATATCATATAATTATTATTATTCTTTAATATGGTTCCTATCATTATCATTATTTATATTGAGACTTTCTGCAAGGACTCTTTATATCCTAATGCCAATAAATAAAAAAATACTTCCCACGCCACTGGGGTACTTGCGAGGAAGTGCTATTTAAACGCAAAACATTTCGAACATGAGATATCATCTTTTTTTGATGTCAAATGACAACTATACTAAGTGACATATAAATCCGAACACCCAGTTTAAATGGTTTTATTTTAATAAAATTTTGTATAAGTACTTAATGAAGCATAATAAGTAAATGATAAAATGATTGCACTGCTTCAAAGCCCTTTGTGCTACGCATTCTCCAACGCGCCTAGGCATGCTTCTGATCAGGTGGTTAATGTCCTCCTGTGGTATCTCATTCCAGGCAACCACGAACTCCTCCCGAAGTGCTTCTAGAGTCTGAGGAGGACGTTGCAAATTGAGCAATCTCCTACACATCATATCCCACACGTGCTCAATTGGGGAAAAGTCGGGAGATCTTGGTGGCCATGGTAACAATGTGACATCATTATGTTGAAAGAAGTCTATTGTGACTCTTGCAACATGTGGTCGGGCATTATCTTGTTGGAAAGTTGGATCTTTCAGGGTGTCAAGATAGGGTAAAAGATGGGGTTCTAGAACTTCGTGGATATAATGCTGCGCGTTCATGTTACCTCTGATGAAGATTAAAGGTGACCTGGAACCATAAGCTATAGCACCCCAAACCATAACTCCAACAGTGTCATGAACATGTCTTTCAACAAAAAACTGTGGATTCCTCCTTTCACCACGTCGCCTTCTAACCCTGGCACGACCATCGTGCATGCCTAAAGAAAATCGAGACTTGTCACTAAAGACAATACTGTTCCATTCCTGATCCCAAAGTGACCGTTGGCTGCACCACTCAAGGCGATTACGTCGGTGTTCTCGAGTTAAAGGGAGGACCCAGTGTGGCCGGTATGAAAACAAGCCAAAACTTCTCATTCGTCGGTAAACACTTCGCATGCCAATAGGTCTTCCGTGTTCTGCAAACCATTCATTTGCAATGGACCTATTAGTGGAGAAACGGTCCCTTAAGGCCAATAATCTTAGGCGGCGATCTACACGGTCTGTTGTGCTACGGCGGCGTCCAGTGCCCCTTGCTCTTTGCGTACGGCCTTCTCGAAGCCATGCCTGACAACACCTAACCACAGTGTCTACACTTCTTTGCACTCTAACTGCAAAGAACCGAAAAGAAAGTCCAGCTTCCCGAAGTCCCACTATACGGCCCCTATCAAACTCACTACAGTAAGTTGACGAAATCGTACAGGTCTCCGTACTCTAGGCATCGTAACCGATCGTAAAGGATGTCAAGAACCAAAATCCGCCAACGTTGATTCTTTATTGCGGCTGAAATATTCATTTTTAGAGCGTTAGTGAATTAAAAAAAAACAGTATAAAAACCGGAATGTCCAACTGATAAGGCTGAAAATTTTTTCACTTGTTATTTACAGTAAGATAAATACATTCACCAACTTTTATTGAAATAAAACCATTTAAACTGGGTGTTCGGATTTATATGTCACTTAGTATACATACACGATAAATACCATGTAACTCATTTCCGTCTGTCTATCTGTCCGCTAATCCTGGGCCCGTCTAAAACTTGAATGTTGGTTAAATTTTCAAAGTTACTAATGTGCCCAGTGGCGCTCCCAGGATTTCAGTCTGAGAGGGTAAAATGGAAAGTAAATTCTGTGTGACGTACTGAAGTGTTATAATGATTTAAGATTAAAAGCATGGACATATGCGGACATATGCATTTGTTACAGTAATTTCTGTAGAAAATACATTCAATTTTTACGGCATTATTGGTTTCTACGCATTCACGTATCCCATAATAAAGAACCTTTTCTGTTTGGAAAACAAGATTTCTTAAGTTCACGCAATTTTCAAAAACTAAATAAATATATAATTTGCCATCTCGAACGAACGAAATGCACTGAAGTGCTTATATACAGGGACTTCCGAGACAAAATAGACATAGATGATAATGATAGCTGTAATATGGACCAAAACTTTTTAATTGAAATTATATTAAATTTCCATTTTTCCGTCTGTCATTTTTTTAGACACGATTCTAGTATAAAAATTCAAAACAAACAAAAATTAATTCTCTGGCTTATGCGTGGAAAATAAAAAATCAATAGAACATAGAAAATAGCGTTAATACCAACCAGATTAACAAAACTCCGCTTGTTCACTTCTCAGCCAAATTTTGTTGCGGACTCCGGACCGGTACAGGATTTAGACACTAGACTAGACTATAAAAGACTAGACTATACCTGTTCCAACATGAAGAAGTGCACACCGTTGCTGTTGGTGAGAGAGTAGTCGCTAGTCGCATGCGCACTGAGCGGGTTGGCAGGGTTGCCGCTATCCTTTCTTAAAGTTACAGATTTTTTTATAAGACGTTTATTTTATACCACCTTTTCAAAGACTGCTCGAGTCAATAGCCGCAGAGCTACAGGTAAGACTTATAATAATAATTATATTTGTTGAGGTAAAAAGATGCCCAAAATTACAAGCAAAATAACGATAAATATGCAAATCTTAAGGTTGATCCGGATTTTCCGGGGATGTCACGCG